GGAAGTTGCTTCAGCCTGTAGGGGTTGAAACAATGGCTGCCAGACTTTGTGCTGGTTCCTCAATGATCAAAAGTAGCATCAGCACTCAGAACACATAATTCTGTGTTACAAAAGACAAAGTTCTTATTGCTCACCCTGGCTCCAGGGAGCTGCAACCAGGAATGTGGCCCGCTGCCTTTACTGCTTCCTGTCACAGAGAGAGAGGTAAAAGATGGCAGCCAATACCTCACTGAAAGGATGAAATTCATTGAAATCTACTGACATTTACCAGCCTCCACTTTATGCTCTCCCCTGGATACTGCAAATGTTTGACTAGACTCTAGAGTTTCAGAACATTTGATTAAGACACTTCCTACCAGTTCAATAGTTATTTAGGTGGAGGGGTGGATTTTTGGAGCTTCCTATTCTATCATCTTTTGTCTAAACATAGGCTTTTATTTCTCTTGGGTAAATACCTAAGAGTGAAATGGTAAGTATACGTTTAATTTTTAAGGAACTGCCAAACTGCCTTACAAAGTGGGTTCCAAACTACCATTTTACAATCCCACCAGCAGTGTATGACAGTTCAGTTGCTCTACATCATTACTGGTAATTGGTATGGCCAAGCTTTTTAATTTTAGATGTTCTAATGAGTATGTAGCCATATCTTGTGGTTTTAATTTGCATTTTCCCTAATAATTAATGATGTTGAGCATCTTTTCTTTTTTTATTAGTTTCAAGTGCACAACATCATGATTAAATGTTTATACACCTCACAAAGTGATAACCCCAACAATTCTACTACCCATCTGACACCATGCATAGCTATTACAATACCACTGACTATATTCCCTATGCTGTACTTTACATCCCGCAACTGTATATATATTTTTAATTATAGTTGACATTCAATATTATTTTATTAGTTTCAGGTGTACAGTGCAGTGGTTAGGCATTTATATAATTTAAGAAGTGATCTCCCAATAAGGCTAGTACCCATCTGACCCATACATAGTTTTTACAACATTATTGACTATACTCCTCACACTGTATTTCACATCCCCATGACTATTTTGGACTATTCATTTGTACTTCCTAATCCTTTCACCTTTCTCACAAATCCCCCCAACCTCCCTCCCATCTGGCAACCATCAGTTTGTTCTCTGTATCTATGAGTCTTTCCATTTCGTTTGTTCATTTATTGTGTTTTTTAGATTCCACATATTAATATAAGTGAGATCAGCTGGTATTTGTCTTTTTCAGTCTGACTTATTTTGCTTGGTGTAATACCAGCTAGGTCCATCCATATTGTTGCAAATTGAGCATCTTTTCATATGCTTATTTGTCATCCATATTTCTTCTTTGGTGAAACATCTGTTCAATCTTCTGACCAATCTTTTTATTTAAATTGGTTTTTTTTCTTAGTGTTGAGTTTTGAGAGTTCTTAATATATTCTAAATAAAAGTCCTTCACCAGATATATTATTTGGAAATATTTTCTCCCAACCTGTGGCTTGTCTTTCTCTTTTTTTAACAGTGTCTTTTGAATATTATTATTAAT